CATTGAAACCCTTAGCAATTACGTCATGTTTCTGCCCCACGTTAAATCCCATGCGCTCATGTATGTACTCAGCACTAGTGCACTAGTCTCTTTTCATGCGCAAATTGGCACCACCACAGAAAAAACCCTAGTCTACGGTGTAAAAAGAAAATACGCGGCCGGTAAATAAGCTGCCACAGCCAATAGTGATAGACTGTAAGTGTAAATCATAATAAGTATAAAGCGCATTGGTGATACATAAATTTATTAAATTTGCTTTTAAAGGTAAGATAATTTGATTAAGCAGGAAATTACAGATAAACATTGGTTAAAAAATTCTGAAAGTGAGCTCCAATTCACAGTCTCACACCCAGAGGCAATAAACTGTATCAGCAAATAGTACAGTTGAACCAGTTAAGAGAAGTTTTTTGAGGAAGATTCCGAGATATATATATATATGTATATATATATATATATATATATATATATATATATATATATATATATATAAATAAAAAGAGGCAGGAGTGCAGAATCAGAGCTTTTAATTAAAGAAATCAGGGAAGCATTAAATGCGGGTTTATTAAGTTGGCTGAACTTCCAAGTTGATAAGTTGTAACTTTAAAAAAGTCTCGAGTTATTTTACTTCAGGAACTTTCTGACAGACACCGGTCCCATAAATTATGTGCAGATGTTCTGATTTGATTAAGTTCCAGTAAGTGTAATAAATTGATAGACAAGTTTCTTGAAAAGAAACAGTGAATCGTAAAGAATCAAATATCAGACAGCCCACGTTTGGTTTTTAAAGTTTGGACGCCAGGTGTGGATCTGGCCTGGGGTTCCCCCAGGTTCGACACCAAAAATAAAAAAGTGGGTAGATAATCAGTAAAAATGTTACGTATTACCTATGTGTCCACAGTCCACAACAATCACATATGAAAAATATCCGAGGGGCCTATTAATAAGCCGCCCCCTGGAAAAATAAGAATCCGCTTGTGTATAGTCCCTTAGTGTAATGGACCGATGTTTCCGTGTTAAATTTAATGACAATTCGGGGTTTAAAAAATACAGCTTGTAGTTCACTTGATTTTCCTTCTGTTGTTCAAATATATCCACATGCAACCCAGTTTGTCTATACACTTCTCTCTAAATAACTAGTGTGACGGAAAACAATTGGAAAAAAATAATAATTGGGTAAAAAATCTTAAACAAATGGAGAAAAAATGTAACACAAGAATAAAGCTATTATTATATAGATTGGCGTGTGTCTTAATTAAACGGCAGCAAAGTATTTTTCTGTCCAAAGATCAATGGAAAGGTAAGAACTTTCTCAAAATACCTCAAACTTACATCTGAAAGATATATTGCGGAGAGAGCAGAATTTGAGCGAGACTTTTCAAAGGAAGGCTAAACAATCATTTTCGAGAGGACATTTTCCCCTAGTGTAAATACAATGTACACTGAATAGATGCGTTAATTTTTGTTATTTCAACGAACAGTCGTCGGGTCTCATTAAATCGAATACAAAGTTCAAGCAAACACCATTACTAAAAGGTGGTGACCTGTCCTAATGCAAGATGTTGTCTCTCACACTTTGCTTAAATTGTGACATTTGACTGTCAAATTACTGCAACAGCTAGTTTAGTCAGTAATGAGACTGTGGATACCCACTGGTGTTCATCTAGTCAATTTTGGCAGAGAAAATCATATGTTGCCCTTTTAATGCATCGTTTTATAATAACACGAAAACATAACGCCATCATCAACTCACTAAATGACGTGAAGGACTTGAAAGGAATTCAGAGACGCATAATCTATATGCCATCTTGCATAATTATCTAGAAACCCAAATCGAGGATTTCTTACGTCACTGGGAAGGACGCATAACTTGCTCAAAGAAGCTGAACTGAACTGTTACATATTAAATAGGCCTAGTCCGAAAAAATCTGCGAATTCGCTGCAAATATCCAGGCCTACATGTAGATACTTTGTATTTTTTTGTTCTTAACTTATCAATAAATGCGCACTCCCTCTTCGTAGCATCCCTCAGTCTCCCCTACGCAAGGAAGACTGAGGGATTTAAACGTGTTTTTAATGGGCACTGAGAGCGTGTGGACGGTTATGACCGACGAGATGTGACATGGACGTGTGGTCGAGCAAGCATGTCGCCACGACTGCGTGTACAGCATGGAGCTATAAAACAGTACCCATAATCCTTTGCACATGCAACTCCTAGCATTCCGTAAAATTCGCGAGCGGCGCGTAATTTGATTCGCACCACTAGGTTGGTTATTTTAACTCCCCTTGCGATCGTAAAAGTACTGGCGGTGGCCATCATTGCCCCCTCTGATCTTGGGCTGTGCTTACTCCTTGTGTTTATAGCTCCATGGTTACGGTCACTTTACCACACCGTGAAGTGTTGTTTATGAGTGAATCCACGCCGGTGTTTTACTTGTTGAAGACAGACACATGTACAAAGTGTACGTAAATTTTAAAATTTGGGACCTCTTTTCGAAGCCATGAAAAGGGGAAAAATGCACTTTCGATGGCCATCTGATCTGCAAGCCGACTTCGCCTGCACGTTCTGGACTGGAAAGTCCTGCGGTGCATTTTGTTTTTGCAAGACAAATTACATGAGCTGCACCGTTATAACGTTATGGAACGCCGTTATAGCGAACATCACTTTTATATCTAGCTAGTTTCGCTTGTCTATCATTTCGTTGCTGATTTCTAACATACATATGTATGCGCCTCTGGTACCACACATCAGAATGGTCTCCCGTTTATTAGAGTTTCATTTTACAACCGCACTATGCCACATGCAATTAATAAAGTTGTTGCCCTTCCTCGATCGTGTAGTTTTGGTATAGAATCTATACACGAATGAAAAATGATTGCACGGTATACATACGGACTATTGGGCATGCATGATTGTCGAATTGAAACTGATACTCTTTGCACGTGCTTGTGTGCCACGACGATCCAACCTCCTCCCCAGCAGATTCTTTATTTCCGGCTTTAGTCTTCCAATATAGTCACCCAGGAAAGGAATTTTCCTACGATGTAGCAACAACATTATCAAGAAAATAATCTGGTGTATTTGAGGTTTGCGACTTCCACATATAATGCCGTCATTATAGTTTGTGGACTTGCAAAAATATCTAGTTCAAGGGTCTGAGCAGGTAGCGGGGCGTGGGGGCGCACTGCATGCTCGAAATCACGGCAGATGTGCTCCTCATGTACAGAGACTAGGCCGATCCATCAATCTTCGGGGTTGTCTGGTAAATTCCTGACGACTCGATCTTGACAAAAACTTAGGTCCATCGCCCAAGGTTGAATATAGTTCGTGACTCGGCATGTCAGAAGTCACTAGGGAATCCTCGTCTGGGTTGGACGTTGTTTTCATTATGCACTTCATTTTCGAGATGTAAAGTACAGGCCTAGGCCTACACGTACATGCACAATGTTATAATGAAATAATGTTGCTTTTTGGATACTAACACACACAAAAAAAACAACTGTACAATATTTTACCAGCCCCGTTGGATCATGCCTCAATTAGATGCAAGCGTGGTTGGTCGTGTCGGTATAAACCTTAACTTTGATGCAAGCGTAGTGGTCGTGTCGGTAACCGTGACTAGCAACATGCAGCTGGTTCAAACTGACAGTCGCAATTTACCTAAAAGCAACTGGGACAGGACACAAAAAATAGACAGAAGGAAAGTTAGGATTTCTCACCAAAAAATTTGAAGAAAAATAATGTGCCCTCAAAAACACA